TCAGTTGACTGACAAGGAGTTTCGTCAACAGGCACTGGTACCCCTGACGGATGCCACTCATGGCGGCGAAGACGTCGGCGTCTACGCCACAGGACCCTTTAGTCACTTGTTTCATCGCAACATTGACAACACCTATCTGGCCCATGTCATGAAGTGGTCTCTCTGTCTACCACCCTACCAGACGGAGGTTCATTGCAGCGGTGCAGACCACTGCTGGTCCTCAGTTTCCCTTCTTCTTTTTTTCCTTTCGCTCACTCAGTTGTACTAAAATGTGCCACTCACGCCGGGCAGATTCTGTTGACAGGAGCCAGAAACCAAAATAAAATTATGGTCCTTATTACTTTCCAAACAAAGCTCAGAAAGACAGCTTCTGACTGATTATTGATTATTGGTTCAGGCCAGTTATAAAACAGAAACGGAATTCTTCGTCACGTTATTCGTCAATGGAAACCAGACGGGTGTGTAGCACGCTTTAGACGGAATCCCTTAGCCACACGTCATCCACAGCGTTCTCTTCATTACGGTGGGTTTGATTCGTACTTTTCATTGGTGTTTGTCAGAGAGGGCAGGACCAATTACGCGTGGAGGAGGAAATAATCTCGCCTATGGGGTGGCGAATTTTTGAATTCCAGATGTCTGTATAATTAAGGAAGAAAACTCGTTAAGCATTTGGTTATGTGTCAAAGCTGTTGAACTCATGCAGAGGTCCATTGGCAGATATTAAAGCAACAAACTAAAGTTAGTCACGCCGGCATGGAGATGGCTACCAGAACTCTGTATTCCGGCACCAGATCGATATATCGATCGAGTGAGCTCTTATCAGAGGTATGGCTTTCAATTAATTGGTGGCATTTCTTGTTTACGGCGTGGCGGATGATCTTGGTGACCGCATCGTTGAACTCGTGATCCGTATTGGAAATTTGGACTGTCCCTTTTGGTAATCTGTATTTTCCGTAGCACGGCATGGAATACCGATCCCGCATCCAAAAAATATGCACTGTGATAAAATCGGTTGATCATAAAAAATGCATAGTTTGATTTGCAAATGGTGGCTTTAAACCTGCTTTGTTGTGGTTTTTATCTCCCAAGATGGACTGTTGCAGGAGTTTGAAAGCTCAGAACAATAATCAAATAGACTAGATGCTCGACCAGTCTTGTTCCTTACTTGGGGGGTACCTGTGATAAGTGGCGTCCCAGAAGGCGCAGTTTTGGAACCCACATTAGTTCAGTACAGTTCAGTATATTAAGGGTAATAGACAATGCTTTTGAAGACCCTATTATAAACTGTTTACATAAAATATTCAGCATAAAATATATTACTATAAAATAGTAAGTAATACATGCATATGTAAACTTTTGTTATGTGTATATAGGAGTTAAGGCTACGACGATTAACCCTAACGCCTACAATCTTCGAGACCCTGGTTCCTTAGGAGATAGGAGAAGTCTTGAGAAAGGCCAGATAAGTAGGAAGAGTTTATTGTGTACACAACGGAAGGGAGAGTAGATGAGAATAG